CTAATTTTACTAAATCAAAATAATTGTGTTGCTTCATGTTCATTTAATTTAAGTCATACATGATTACCTATGCTAAAATCTGAAGTAGACCAGAGAAACAGACACCCAAATTAAATTTGCTCCAAAATTATTAATTAACATTACCTTTACTAATTTAAACAATGAGATTAAGTCAAAGTCACATAACTGGCAATTTGCACAGACGAATTATCAGAGCGAATTTTCATATACTGTATTATCCTACTATTGTTACACAATTTATTAACATACTCTTTTTTAGGTTCCTTTAGGTTCTTTTGATAACGATAGCAGAAAATAGCTATCGAAACGTCCAGGTAATTTTTCAAATTAATTCCTTTACTAATCGGAATTTTATCTTACAGCTTGAGCCTAAGTGTGTCGCAGGATACCCTCTAGGTGATAGTTCTTGATTACTTTTTGATAAATAATTCGTTCTTATTGCGAAATAGGAGCACTATTTATCAATCTGTAATAAAAGACGTGAGTAAATTCTGTCGTTTTTAGAGACAAGAATTTTTGAGGCGAAATACCCAAAAAGAGGTTTGTAAAAAAACCATATTATTATTTACAGCATGGTGCAAGCCGGGGCAATACGTATGTAGCAACTCCAAAGTATGCATCGATCAAGAAAAAATCTGCGATGGGATAAAAGACTGCCCTCAAGGAGACGATGAACGACAATGTGTCACCATAGCAAGTGATAGTAAAACTGCTAATGAGTTTCCTTATTACTCAAACGGTAGGTAACGGCAACAAACGCATTTGTAAGTACTGAAAAAGCTGCGTTGTAGGATATTTAATGGTGAGGAAACATGGAGTTTGGGGAAAACTGTGCATCGACAATTTTGATAACGTTGTGTCTAAATCCCATATTTCATGGGAGATTAATGACTTGGGCAAAGCAATATGTAAATCAATGACCTATCAGTACGTATACTCGCTATATGGTTTATTCCCGTGTATACATATAACTTTCAGGAAACTGAGAAGCATTGAAAGTAGTGAAGATGTGGCAGAAGCTACTGATAAGCAGTACTTCGAGTTGGCGTATACAATGGAAAATAAAAACAAGTCAAGTTTGTTGTTCAAAGAGAGCAGTTGTCCTACGAGGAAGGTTGTGAAGGTAACATGCGAGGCTTTGGAGTGTGGTGCTAGACCTCAAGCAGTCAAACATGTGGCCAGGTAGGGCAGGGACAAAGATTTGGTTTTTAAAGAACTAACAAAATAAATTACTTATATTAGACGATATTCTAGGGTGGTTGGAGGCGGAAATGCAGGCCTAGGATCGTGGCCCTGGCAAGTTGCTTTATACAAAGATGGAGAATTTCAATGTGGGGCTACTTTGGTGTCGAATCGTTGGCTGGTATCTGCTGGCCACTGCTTTTATGGGTAGCCGCAAGGCTTAACTTTGAGAGAAAAAATTCAAATTGATTGATTTCCAGATCGCCTAACGAACATTGGGTTGCAAGGCTTGGGGCACTACGTCGCGGAACCACCCTACCATCCCCTTATGAACAACTGCGGGTTATTTCCAGAATAATAGTGCATCCAGGATATTTGGACTTTGGATTTATTAACGACATTTCCTTGCTGCAAATGACTTATCCTGTAGTATTCAGCGATTATGTGCGTCCAGTTTGTTTGCCTCCACCGGGGCAAGTTCTGGAAAATGGCCATTTATGCACAGTTATCGGATGGGGGCAACTGTTTGAAGTGGGAAGAATATTTCGTAAGTCATCGCAAAATCATCACTAATGGTGAATGATGGTGAATTTTCCAGCTGATACACTTCAGGAAGTGCAAATTCCCGTGATATCTACACCCGAATGTAGAAAACGGACGCTTTTCTTGCCACTATATAAAATTACTGACGACATGTTCTGTGCTGGTTTTGATCGAGGCGGCAGGGATGCGTGTTTAGGGGACAGTGGAGGACCTCTTATGTGTCCGGAGCCAAATGGGCGCTGGACGCTTCAGGGTAAGAATTCGAGCGATTTCAACTATAAGATCTAATTTTTCATTTTCAGGTATAACTAGTAACGGTTACGGATGCGCTAGAGCTAATAGACCAGGAGTTTACACTAAAGTAGCAAATTATGTTGGGTGGATTAACTCCTACGTTTACGGGGACGACTCTCGCGTAGAGAATGTTACTAAAATAGTGACTTCCTGCACAGGACACCGTTGTCCCTTGGGAGAATGTTTGCCCGAAAGTCGTCTATGCAATGGCTTCATCGAGTGCAGCGATGGAAGCGATGAAAAAAACTGCAAAAAGAGCTAACTCTAATTGACGACACACGCTTTTTAGAGTCTAGTAAGACCTGCTTTTCCTGTTGCTATTAAAATCAGCTTTTTACAGATCTGTTGCTCACTTGGGACTTATCTATGAACTGACAATCTAGTATTAATTAAAATAGAATTAGCAAAAGGCAATAGACATTACCTAACGAATGTTTGCGATAGATAGTTGCCATTACACGAACAATCACGTACAAATATGTTTCGATATATCTTTTAATTCAAAATCAATAGGATCCGACTTGTTAGTTGTACGCATTCTTAATATTATTGGTAGTTTATAGGATTGAAAAATGTACTTCTTGCAATAAAGACCTGATCATTTTATGTGTTTGAGGAAAATAGATCTACTGTGTTTACATAACCGGTTCTGGCACTGTATAAACATATTTTTATATTAATTTATACTACAATTCTATTCGTACCCACTACCCCGGCTTTAGGTAATCTAGAAGAGAAGGAAAACATCTGGAACCAAGTTTCACTTTTTCAGTGCAGTGCAATTTTGCAAATTTTGTTTTTGGTCGAAATTTTCCCAAGAGTGGTTGATTGTTTAAAAAAAAATTACATTTTCTCAAAATTTGAATTTTATATCATTTTCAGCTCTCGGACGCGAGGAATGCATCGAACTAATTAAAAAAGATGCCAGAAGATTCATATCCGAAATAATGGACATTTTCGGCACATTTTAGGCGTTTTTTGAGCGTTTACGATCTTCATCGGACGATTTCTTCCTTATTATTGACCCAAACACTTTATAAATGCATATTTGTGACCTTATTATGTCGAAAGGAATCGATTGAGCTCAAAAAACGCGCGTGTGAAATTTTGATTTTTGGCTGAAATTTTTCTAAGGGTGGTTGGTCGATTTTTTGACAAAATTAAAATTTTCTCAAAATGTCTTAAATTTTACATCATTTCCAGCTCACCAGCGCGAGGAATGCATCGAACTCATTGAAAAATATACTAGAAGTTTCGGATCCGAATTAATAGACATTTTCGGCACATTTTAAGCGTTTTTTGAGCGTTTACGATCTTCATCGAACGATTTCTTCCTTATTATTGACCCAAACACTTTATAAATGCATATTTGTGACCTTCTTACGTCGAAAGGAATCGATTGAGCTCAAAAAACACGC